GCACATTGTAGACGAAATACGCGTATCTGTCAAGGATAAGCAAATAAAGTAGTGGAATTAAATGGAAAATACTAATCCTTCTCTCTCTCATTATACAGGTATTCCACTAAGACGCCCACATTCATCAGGATTCATCATGGCAACCAAGCCGTCGGAGCCAAATAAATTCATCGGATTGAAGAAAACCATCGCATCGCTTCACAAGGACGTAGCATTTCTGAAGAAATGCCAAAGATATAAGGTTATACCTATATGCCATAGGATTAAGGTACGGACACCCACCCCACCCAGCGTAGTAAAGAGGATGGAAGCAGAGTTCATCAAGAATAGCATCAGACGGCTATATAGCAAACTGGACATGAAGGTTTTGGAATGTTATTATCTACATCTCAAATTGGCCAAGGAGTATCCAATTAAATTCCAGGAGTTTCTGTCTAGGACCAAGGTAGCAGAGGAGTGCGATTAGGATAGGAAGCGGAAGCTGCAGAATAGGAAGCTAAACAGACTACGACAGGAGTCTCAACGGAGACGGGCGACACACCGAACGGGTGAGCAGATCCCATCAACCATCACCACGACGCCGAGGGTTCACTCCATTGATGGGTTGGTTGTCAACCGATCGACGACCGCATTCACGGAAGAACAATTGCCACACCTCAACAAGGGGCTAGGATACGCGGTTACAACCAAGCCAGACGTGGAGCAGATCATCATTGACGTAGAAACAGCGATTACCAAGACGCTTCCAACAACATCACAGAATACGGTTAGGACTATATCGAACATAATCAAGGACGGACAGGAACAAAGTCGCTCCAACGAAAAAGAAATTCGGATTGTAAAGGAGCTAAAAAGTAAAGCAGTATACTACGTGAAGGCAGACAAGGGAAACGCGGTCGTTATCATGGACAAGGACGATTACGATAATCAGATGACAACGAAGATTAACAACGGACCGTATAGACAGCTTCGAGTAGACCCCTTACAGAACATAGTGAAACGCGTGGAGAAAGCACTGAAGGAGTGCAAATCGATATTAGGAGATGGAGCAGGTCGTTTACGGGAACCCAATCCCATTCTACCCAGGATCAAAGGTCTCCCCAAAGTCCACAAACCGGGAAATGAAATGCGAGAGATCGTGTCTGCAGTTGGTTCCCCCACCCACAAACTAGCGAAGTGGCTAGTCAAAGAGTTCCAGAGTATGCCGAATCAGTTCCAGAGTAAAGCAGTTAGTAACACCCAGGAGTTCGCCCAGGAGCTACAATCTTCAGGAGACATCAACGAGATTATGGTATCTTTCGACGTCACAGCTCTTTTTCCCAGCGTACCGGTTCAAGGAAGCGATCAACCATTTGGAGGACTGGCTATTAACCCAAAGAGAGGATGCAGCATGGAGAAACAAGGTTCGGACGTACTTTAAGCTGACCCGCCTTTGTATGGAAGATAGCTACTTCTCTTTCCGAGGTAACTTCTACAAGCAGACGAAAGGAGCCCCAATGGGAAACCCCTTATCCCCCTTCTTGTGTGAACTTTTCATGGCCAACTTGGAGACAATCCTGAAGGAGAAAGGACTATTACCAAACCGTTGGTGGAGGTTTGTTGACGATATCTTCAGCGTAGTTAAACGGGAAGCCCTTCCACAAATTTTAGATGAGATCAACAGAATTCACAAGGATATCAAATTCACTCACAAGGTAGAAAAAGACGGGAAACTCGCATTTCTCGATCTTCTAGTCATCAGGGAATCGTCATCATCTTCCTCGTTTGAATACGAAATTTACAGGAAACCAACAAACACCAAAAGAATTATCCCCTATACTTCCAACCATTCGTTCCAGCAGAAAATGGCCGCCTTTCACCACATGATTCATCGAATGCAGACTCTTCCACTTAGCGATACAGGAAAGATTAAGGAATTACAGTACATCTTCGAAACAGCAAGACTCAACGGATACAAGGAGACCACAATCCAGGCAATCATCGATAAAAAAGCGAGAATTCTACAAAGGACATTATTTACAACCCTCACCGCAGCACCTGAACCATTGAAACGAGTGTCCGTTCCATTTGATCAAGATATTACTTGCAAGCTAAGACCACAGTTAAAACAATTCGGATTAGATTTAGTTTTCACCAGTAGACATAACCAGTTGAAATCATTGTTAGGATCCACTAAATACCCAGTTAATGTTTTAGGTAAAGCAGGTGTATATAAAATAAGCTGTAATCATTGCAACAAAGTATACATAGGACAAACCAAGAGAACTTTAGCAACTAGATTTAAAGAACATATAGCGGAGGTTAATAAGGCCAAAAAGCAAGAGGAAAAAGCCCCAACATATGATTTCAAATCAAAGGTTGCAGAACACATCTTCACAGAGGACCACCAACTAACCGTATCTACACCATGGAAATTGGATGTTGCAGAATGCCTCGAGATCAACAAACAACGTAATTCAACTTTACTCAACAGGGATCAAGGAAACGGACACACATGGCTTTTCAAGTTACTACCTAGGACACATCAACGAGTAAGCAGCGGAGTACCTGTTCCTATAGAAAATTAAATTTAAGTTTACCTAGTTTCTAAGTGAAAATGTACCTGTGTTAATATATATTCGGTAAATGCGATGTTTTTCTTCAGTCGAGTATTAGTACAAGACACTGAAGAAGTCTGCACATTGTAGACGAAATACGCGTATCTGTCAAGGATAAGCAAATAAGGTAGTGGAATTAAATGGAAAATACTAATCCTTCTCTCTCTCTCATTATATCAAGTCTATACTTTCATTAACTCATCTATCGGATAAAATGACCAAGCAGATTACTATAAGAATCCGAAGGATGAAAGAGAAATTTTCCAAGTTGATGTCCAAGCATGATTACCTCAGGTAGGGTTCAAACAAGGATCGAAGAGGAATAATTACATTTTCAGGTAATATTGAGCACTGAGAAGTTCTGTTTATTTTTTTTTAGCTTCAGATAGCGTATCACTTCCTTCAGAGAAAATCAAATAGATCCACGGCAAGAGAGCGCAAAGCGGATTGAAACAAAATACGTTCTTTTTTAGGGCAGTTTTCTAACGAAAAAAAAAAGATACTGCTTGAATAAAAGGTGAGAGTTTATAAAGATAATTCAACGGAACAAGCACTAATTTTTTTATGTATTTCTTGTGTTTGTGCTGGAAAAAGCATCGACAGTTGCTGGCGACTATTTTCACCATGACAATCCCACTTTTTTATGATCATCATTCATGACACCTTTTGAGGCTGACTGTTAGTAGCCTCTTTCTTAACGTGAGCATTCTATATTAAAAAGTAATGAAAAAGTCCCACACGAGCGATCCATCCCTGCACCCTAGTAGTCATATAAACTCTACATTGCGGCAAATTTGTGCTGTTCAAAAATTATGTATTTTAAACAACTCAATTCATCACTGAAACTATTAAACAATGTTGATGGAAATAACTGAACCTAATGGCTGTGGAAACTAACGATTTTAAATTGGCTTACTACTTCACTTGCCTATTGGTACCAAGCAAACGATTAACGTACCCCATTCTTGTCGGAATTCTAATACTAAATTATGTTTGTTTTGGTTCGCTATGAAAGTTTGACAGATAAAATGAGTGGCTCGTGGATTTTCCTATGTTTCTAGGGGTGCATCGATTAGCTTGGGACCGAAGAGACTACCAGAGCTGAGCCAAAAAGTTGAGCACGTTTCTTCGGGACTTTCTGGTCTTAGAGCTACCTCTAGGCTGTACTATAGATGTATCATTTTACGGTACTAGAATTTCAACTAGCATGGGGTACGTTAATCGATTTGCTTGGGACCAATAGGCTAGTCAAGTAGTGAGCCAATTTAAAATCGTTAGTTTCCACCGGTTGGCTGTACCATAGAGGTAACTCTAAGACCAGAAGGTCCAGAAGAAACGAGCTCAACTTTTTGGCTCAGCTCTGGTACTTTCTTCGGTCCCAAGCTAATCGATTCACCCCTCGAAACCTAGGAACACCCCTCATTTTATCTGTCAAACTTTCATAGCGAATCAAAACAAACATAGTGTAGTACTGAAATTAATACTAGAATGGGAAACGTTAATCGTTTGCTTGGGACCAATAGGCTTGTCAAGTAGTGAGCCAATTTCAAATCGATAGCTTCGTATCGATTGTTGGCTGTACTCTGTACGTAGCCTGTTCGTATGATCAAATGTCTTTGTTAATACAGTCAACTTTCGTTCGTTGGGCTAAACCGATAGCTCACATAGTGAAATGCTTTCGTTAGTTGGGTTGAGCTGTCATAGCTGAAAATTGGTTGAGAGATACACCGATTGTTTAAAATCATCTAAGAGGAAGAGGAGACAATAGAGGTACTTTTATGAACCAATTTTCTGTCAAACGCGAGCCAGCGCCTGATTGGTCGGGCGAACGTATAGAAACGCGAGCATTTTTACAGCAGGGAATCTATTTTCTTGTAGGGTTAACGCTCCTATAGTTGCGGTACGTTAGAAGCGTTAGGTTCCTATAGTTGTGTATGGAGACTCCATACACAACTATAGGAACCTAACGCTTCTAACGTACCGCAACTATAGGAGCGTTTCCCCTATATTGACAGTCGACTGCATCCCCCATAATGAAATAGTTTTTGGGTCGTTTCCACGAAAGAAGAAGAAAACGTCAAAGGCAAAAAGAAGCCAGTTGTCTCAGCTTCCTCTTAGATTATTATTAAAATAAATCTAACAACTAACGGGATCCCAACTGAAACGTAGCTTACTTAGGCGAAATTTGACTGTACTGACATGTCTGTATATCTGGCTTTATAGCTCTCTCATAATATTGGCCCCTACGAGACATGCTTCTCTTATCATACCTCCCTACACGTCTGCAAAGACTGTGTAATCAAATCCCGGACCCCTTTGCGGATCGCTTCAGCCGACATGCCCGGAGTAATTAATACGGTTTAATTGTTTCAAAGGAGGCATCGTAAAAGTTTCGGTACTTACCAACAGAGCGGTCGACAGTGGCATCTGCTGCGGTCCTCGGGCATACTCGAGAAAATCCTGCACGGTGCACTGAAAGTTTTTCATATCTCTCGGATCGCACCGATCCAGCGGTGGCCACAGCGTTGGTTCGCCATCGTCGGTCAGCCCATGGTTGCCGAAGGTGGAATAATTTTCACCGATGAATAGACCACCCCCACCAGTCTCGATGGATCGGTTGTTGTCATAGTCGTACAGCGTCAGCCAGCCGGCATCCAGTGGCGTCGATGTGACAGACGGTGGGCCGGTCCCAAAGGTGGTGGTCAGGAGAGCGGTGAGGATGGTGGTGGTGGTGGTGGCGTTAGGCCAGTATGAGACCGTGGCACTACCGTCGTCAAAGTTGTGAAAAGTCATCCTGAACCGACTGGGACTGCGGTTGTAGGCCAGTTAGGACCAAGGATACGGACAGGTGAGACTGTATGTTTGTCTACGACAAGTGCTTCTCAATGAGGTGCCACTTTGCATTGAGATCTGATAGTGACGGCAGCAGCAGCAGCAGTGCTACAACGATGGCGATGGAAGACGAGTCTGGTGGTTCCGACGAAGATGGTGTTGATGGTAGGTATATAAAACATTATCGCTGACTTTATCAGACTGTTGGTGTCGCTTTGAGGTGGTTCAATATTTGCACGTTTAAAGGCTATTAGCCGAAGTGTACACATTTCGTTGCGCTGGTGGTGGAAGGAGAGGGAGAATAGAAAAAGGGAAAATGATTCGGTCTGTCGTAGGGTTGGAATGAAAATGTTTCTATTTTGGAGCATCATGTATGTAGTTTTTGCCGAAAGGTAGAATCCCCGTGTGTGACGAGGGTTTTATGAAAGGTGTCGAACGTGGTATGCAAACTCTCGTTGGAATTGCCAAGTTGGTAGAAGAGAATATCTTATCGATTTGTCTGGGAAACTTTGGAGATTTAGCACGGCGGCTGAGTTGGTGTTTTGTAAATATATGAGGATGATTCCCACCAGCTGGTTCCCAGTTTTATGTTAATCCAAATCAGTGCCAAAGTTTCACCGGGGCGTAATTGCTTTTGTAAACCTTCAATTTATCTCAAATAAAAGTTTACGCCAAATCAACAATGCTCTCATGCAACATTCCTCTACCTGTTGGTGTTATACATTTTACGTGTGAGCTTTTGTTCGCGAGAAATCGACGGCTAAAGCCATTGTTTACAAACGCAATTACGAAATGATGGCACTGAAATGTTGTTTTTTGTTCAAAGTCTGAGACATAGATTGAGAAAACAATATATGTACAGAACAACTTTGTCCAAAATTGCAAAACGACTCGAATTCTGTGCCAACAGTCATTAACATTTTTCTGTAGGCCAAGTACTTCGCGCATACCTACAAGCTCATAAATGGAACATTTAAGAAAATGTCTTTCATAAAGTGGATCTTTTTCTACCATTTCCCAAAAAACTTCATCTTTCATTTATAAAGAAAGACTCCTCATTCATGAATTATTGACTGCTGGTTTCATCAAATATTTATCGGTTATCGCTATAGAATTGAGTAATAGTTTGCAGCCAGGGCTGGAAAGCACACCTCAGAGCGTTAGCAAAGCAACTTTGTGCACGCATCTCACAACACTCGACAAAGAGTATGTGTTTCTCCCATTTACTTCGCACACTCTTTTCCAGCTAATCTGTGAGTCTGTATTCTTTGCAGACTTTGCTTGCCACGACTGCATGCATATGAGATGAAGAAAGGCATAACGAAGAAGAATTTTGTCTTTTTGCTGGGTTTCTCATTTGCAACCCTACACTGAGTGGCGCTCTTTGAAGCGATGGCTACACATTGAGCTTTCGTTATTTCTGGGTGTGTATCTATCTTCTCTTCTCCGCTGCTTTACACTTGCACAGGGTGAAAAACAAGCCAAATTTGTGTTTGCTTGATTCTCACTTTGTATATTTCAGAAAATCAGTACATTGCGCGCATTGAGTAAACAGATAACAGCCCTGATTTGCACCATAAAATCCGACAGATGTCGCCCGCCAAAGTAACATATATACAAAGAATTATGTTGAGTAAACTGCTTTACAACCAAAACCAGTCATACAAAGGTTATATAAACTGTTATTAGAACACGTGTATTGCGTGGGTGGTGGATCAACCAGTTTTGTGGAATGGAGATTTTAGAAAAATCGGCGATTTCTCTTCAAACCCTGCTTCTAACTGATTTGGTTGTTCGACTGGTTGTATGGAGATTTCGTTTTTATGGCTTTCTCAGTCTAGGGTAATCCAAACAGTTAGTTGTGCATTGCCCGACGTTTCGGCCGTTTATTGTGGCCTTTTTCAAGGGTAAAACAGTCTACCGTTTGTCGTAAAATTTTTCTGTTTGTTGCCACGATAAGCGTGTTTAGCTTGAAGGAGCTTCCTGCATGGTGCATTGAGTTCAATATAAATTAACATAGAACACTATATGACGCTACACCGTTCGAAAAATTCATGTAAATTTCTACGAGATATAGCGCACATAAAATTAACGCTAGATTTGGCATAAATTTACGCGATATTTCGTGTAAATTTAAGCGCAATATCCCATTAATTAGCAATATTGTATGCAATCTTGTAAACAATTTCACTGTTTATGTCAAGTATAGCTCAAAATTAAACGAAGGGAGATTTTACGCGATGGTTAAAATTCAGAATTTTTTTCTGTGTTCATGTGTGTCCTATGTCAATTAATATTGAACTTAATGCACAGAACAGGAAGCTCCTCTAAGCTAAACACGCTTATCATGGCAACAAACAAAAAAAAATTGACGACAAACGGTAGACTGTTTTACCCTTGAAAAAGGCCACAATAAACGGCCGAAACATCGGGCAATGCACAACTAACTGTTTGGTTACCCTAGACTGAGAAAGCCATAAAAACGAAAACCCTGCTTCTAACAGTGAGAAAATTTCTACATTTTGTTCTATTAAGTAATAAAGGGTGATACGGTCAAAATTTGGTCAAACGCGTGTAAATCGGTGAAATCGTTTATTTAAAAAATCAAATTAAATTTCTTTTTCAAGTTCAATTAGTATAAAATTCAGGAAAAATATTCAGTTAGGCTTCCGCTTTTCCAAATCCGAATTGCCGGGCCTTACGCTTGACCCCTGCCATCAGATTTTGTACAGCCACCTTGTCCACCTTCTTCACCGCAGAAAGCCAGTTTGCCTTGAATTGCTGCTCGCCCTTAGCAGTTTTTTTGGTCTTCTTTAGGTTCCGCTTGACAATAGCCCAGTATTTCTCAATTGGGCGGAGCTCTGGCGTGTTGGGAGGGTTCTTGTCCTTGGGAACCACCTGCACGTTGTTGGCGGCGTACCACTCCATGGCCTTTTTACCGTAATGGCAAGATGCCAAATCCGGCCAAAACAGTACGGAACAACCGTGTTTCTTCAGGAAAGGCAGCAGACGTTTATTCAAACACTCTTTCACGTAAATTTCTTGGTTGACAGTCCCGGAAGCTATGAAAATGCTGCTTTTCAAGCCACAGGTACAGATGGCTTGCCAAACCAGATATTTCTTTGCGAACTTTGACAGTTTCATGTGCTTGAAAACATCTGCTACCTTTCCCCTTCCTTTTGCCGTATAAAACTCCTGTCCCGGAAGCTGCTTGTAGTCGGCTTTGACGTAGGTTTCGTCGTCCATTACCACGCAGTCAAACTTCGTCAGCATCGTCGTGTACAGCCTCCGGGATCGCGCTTTGGCCGTCGTATTTTGTTTATCATCGCGATTTGGAGTCACTGCCTTCTTGTAAGTCGATAGTCCGGCTCGTTTTTTGGCTCGATGCACGGTTGTAGACGATACACCCAGCTTATTTGCGGCATCTCGAAGAGAGAGGTTAGGGTTTCGCTTGAAACTACCGGCAACTCTCTTTGTCGTCTCAGCGGCTTCCGGTTTTCGATTTCCCCCCGATCCAGACTTCCTGGCTGTCGACAAACGTTCCCCAAACACTTTAATTACATTTGTAACGGTTGATTTGGCAACTTTTAGCGATTTTGCCAACTTTGCGTGCGAGTAGCTCGGATTTTCGCGATGCGCGAGCAAAATTTTGATACGCTGCTCTTCTTGCTTGGACGGCATTTTGACAACTGAAGAGTGAGTTCCAAAATCAAAATAGGAGCAACATTCTACACACACACACCTTCAAAATGAGGGGTGTTCAGGTTTTTTAAATGCAAAATTGAAAGAAATACGTCAAGTTGATATTGACCAAATTTTGACCGTATAACCCTTTAGTGACATTATGTAGATATAATATATTTGATAAATTGCACCATTATTGATATGAAGTGAATTTCGACAGTCGATTTTCCACCAACCCATAAGATTGAAGGCTGCTCTGGGTGTGAGTGCTGCCAGAAGCAGCATGAAACACCTAATTGAGCTTATTTGATTCAGTGAGTGAGAAAATAGAGCTGCAGTCCACTCACCATAACTCGATATTAAAAGAACAATCGAGTTATAGAATTATTGACTTATGAATTCGAAAAATGGTCCAATAATCCATTTAGTAGTTTATCCATAATGTTTATCCGATATAAACAAAAACACGTCAATTCATGATGTAGTTTTTTCGCATTAAAAGTTTTGTTTCATGATAAAATTTCACTGTTTGCCCCAAGATTGCCCTCATATGATTAAATCTTTCATTAGTCATGAGATTTCTGCCACACAACTGGTGCTGCTTCTAGGCTATTTTTGATCAGTTCTCTGGCAGCATGTGGAACATTGCTGAATGTGGCAATATTTCCCTGAGTATTCAATCAGGATGTGGACTCCCTGGAAAATCAGGGGATTCCAGGAATCTCAGGGAATTCCGTTTATGACTCAGGGAATTTCGGGTAAATTTCTTTAAACTCAAGAAAATACTTCTCAATACTCATTCATACCTGCAATAATAATAATAATAATAATGATATCATCAATCATGTAGGAAAGTGAAACAAGTAATTGTTTTAGGAGGCTTGGGGTTTTTAAGTCGAGGAAAACATTATTTGACTTGTAGCATTTTTTAAAGATCAAAGACATAGACCATTTCTTAAAGTTTCTGGGACGTATTTCAAGGTTTCGTACTATTTTGAAGATTTTGGATTTTGCTTTTTTTACCAGAAAAAAATATTCTGGATCATTTATGATCCGACGAATTCCGGACTTATAAATATTATTAATATTCTTAGACCGGAAACAAGGTTTCATACTCCTAAAATTTTAAAATTTTAAATTTAGGTTTTTTAAGGCCCCACTCGTAAAGCCGTATAAAAAAAGCTTTAAAACATTCAATAGATTTCCAGGCATAGAAACGTGTCGACATTGGAGCAATTTGAAAGATTTTGGAGCTTGTTAAAATTTAAATATCCCAAATTAAGAAGAATGTTGAATATCCTGATTTTTAAAATTTTCTCATGATCTTGCAGCTGAATTCCGGACATAAATTTCATCGAAGAGATAGATAAATTTCTACATTTACCAACTATATAGAATTCTTTTTCCCGCTTCCGGATGACAACAGCTCACATTTTTTTTTTAATTTTCTGAACTTCATCTTTAAATTCTATTATGATTGCCTTTAAGACCTCTGTGTTTCCCTGAAGATCTGTAAACCTAGGATCCCCGCGGTTATTGGAATTTCTTTGGCAATTTTTTTTCTCAAGGTCCCAGGACTTCTCTGAAGCTTTTTTTTTAAATTCCCCAAATTTCACCAGATAGCCCTAAAGTTATTAGATCTACCTAAAAGCTCCTGCAGTTTTCCTGAAGCTGAAGGAACTACCTTGTAGTTCTCAAAGCTTCCCTGAAGTGCCTGACGTTGTGTAGAATTTCTTGAAACTTCCCTTATTATTCCGCAGATCGTTCATGAATCTTTTCCTTCCATTCTTCGGAATTTTGTTATAGTTCCTAAGAATTTTCAGAACCAACCTAAATTTCACTAATATTTCGGAAAATTCTTTGCTTTCCCCATTTTCCAGAGTTTTCCGATACTTCCTTGAGGCTTATGAAACTTCCCTTAAAAAACTTAACTCTTAACTTCTCTAGCCTTGCCTGAAGCTTCCATTCCTCCTTGAATTTCCTTAAATTTACAAGAAAGTCTTCCAACATTGAGTACCATCATTTTTTTCTGGTATGCATAGAATTGTCTTGAAAGTCCCGCAATTTTTAGATTTTTTTGAGCCTTCCTGAAATTCTTGAAATTTTTTACCAATCCTCGACACTTCTTGAAAGTTCTTGCAACAATTAAACAAAATTGTTCAGATGTTTTCTGATCTGCCTTGAAATTCTCGCAACAATTCTGAAAATAATGAAACTGCCTAAAAGCTAAAAGCATCACTTTGGACATCCCTGAAGATTTCGGAACTTTTCAAAAGTGTTCGGAAATGCCCTGAGTTTTTTTCCTTGATTTGTTTTCCGTACTGAGTACCAATGCTACCGACGTCAGAAAGACAGCTCCCACACCTGGACCCTACCTATCGACCCATTAACTCACAGACCGGGACCAATGGACCAGGCCTGTTGGGATGAGATGTAATCACGCTTACCACTACACCACCGGCGCCACCTGTGCCCTGAGTTTCTCCGAAAGTTCTCAAAATATGTATGAAATTTTCTCAACTTATCAACCTTCGCTGAAATTCCAAGAACTTCATGAATTTTTTCAAAATTTTACTGAAGCTGCTGAATTAATATAAACTAACCTTTACAGATTGGGGGCTCAGAGCGTAGTAGGACAAACGGTCCATGGACAAATGGTCGAAGGAACAAAAGATATGGATATCTGCACGCAAAAGCTAACCTCACTTTTCGCCATGAGGGTAAAAAAGAAAGCAACGAGCGGAAATCAAAACAAACCCGGCAGAACTGTCAAAATTTGCGGGTGAGGAAAAGGAACGGGGAGCTTCAGGTTAGGATTCGTGAAGTGTTCTATTGTGCTAGGAAAATTCGAGGACATTTCTCGCGTCACTTTTCAAATAGACCACATCTGCCATTTTGAGAAAATCGAGGTTGTTCGACAGATTATTATTTTAACTGTTTAGAGCAATACATTTTGCAACACTATTTTGAATGTAGTGAATAATAACGTTGAAAAATTAGTAGAAACGGTAAAATCACAATTTTACTGTGAATTTCATGCTACAGTATAGAAAAAAAACACATAGGACATTTTGACAAGTCAAATTGTACATCGGACATGTTACATTGGACGATTTTTCTCAATGACATAATCAATGAGTGTTACATTGGACGTTTTGTTCTACATGATACTAGATTCCGTTTCATAGATTTCAGAGTAGAGTACCGAATTTTAGATTGGCCCCGCCTTTAGAAATTGAGCACCAATTATGTTAGGCAGTCCAAATTACCCAAGTAACAATCATGTACCCATCATTTCAAACTGTGCATTGGACAATTTTTGGCCTATGATTATCTTAAATAAATGAAAGTAAATTTGGATGGGTGATTTTGAATCACATACAATAACAGAAGAGCAATAGTTTGTATGGCTTAACTCGATTTGTTTTCATTTGTTACTTAGGACCTTTTGAAAAGTGACGTGAGATTTATCTGAACATTTTAATTCTTTCATAATACTTGTGCCCTTATGTTAAAATAGTGACTTACTAGCTCGCATTGACGACAGCGCTGTGAGTAATTGTGGTTTTAGCGAATGTAAGTGAACGGAACTTAAATTATGCATGAATGCATGGCTCCAATAAAGTTTGCTTACATTTAAACGATTCCAATATACCAATTTTGCTAGTTGCTCTATTCACTATGCTAGTTGGTTTCTGCAAATGAGCTAACAATCGATATATATTTTTTAGAAATAGTGATGCTTGTTTTTCATAAGATAACAGCATCAGAATATTAGACTACCGTTTGACAGTTCACATTGGCTCCCCGTTGGCTGGTGCTGGTTGCTTGAGCTACCAGCAGTGCTGAACAAGCCCGGGCATATATGTAAACCGGGCATAAGCTTCGACGTTGCATGAATGCTTGCCGACATAAACTGTACGGCTCTTGCCCTGCAATATGTTCCGCAGTGATAAGAAACACATTGCGCTACATGTCCAATGTAGACAGAGGGGTTGAGTCGCATATTTGTCTAGGTACGCGGAAAATCAATGCGAAAAATAATCCCCCTTCAAATAGGCAATAACACCATTCGATTCCGCTAACGCAAAGTCGTCGGTTTCCAAGTTACCCACCAATCTCACCAAACGACGACGAACGATCAAATTTCCCCGACGCCACACCACCACCCGGTTCTCTACCTTTCAGCGCAGTCCGTGGAAAATCCCTTGTCACCTTCCCGCTTCCGGATGACAAAAGCTGACATCCATCACTCTTCTTTTTTTCCTCTGTTCTACAAAGTAGCACATTCACTTCGTTTATCCTCAATTTCACTTTACTTCGGCAATTACCGGGCCGCCCCGGGAACGACTGACTGCACTTACACAACTCGGTGACTGGCAACTCTTCGGTCGGTTGTGCCAACTTTTAGGTAACCATCGTGTCGCCACCACCATTAGCGAACCCTTTTCGGAAGATGAGTCGAAGAAAACAAGAGAAGAAACCTTAACACTTTTCAACTTTCCGCACGTCCTTGTCGTGGATTTTACTTTCTCTACGGGAAAACTTCGTGAGGGGCCACTTTTCACCACCGTGATGCACTTTTCATCGACACACTCACAAACAACTCACAGATTGCGGTTGCACTTTCCGGAAGCTTCCGAACCAAGCACTAGAACACGGTTCCAATTTACTTATATTGCATTTTTCACTCCCCTTCTACACAACTTGCGGTTTCTTCTTCGGTGGCTGCTCTGATGTTGCCGCAATAAAAACAGTGATTAGTATTCTGCTACTTTCTGCTTTTGCGATAAATCTGTGTTTACATTTTTCTAATTTATTTTCCTGGGATTTAAGCACGGCGATATGTCACTAGCAGAAGATATTTTCCGTTTTCTGAAATGAAAAGAAATGAAGAAAAATAGTGGTTAGTGAGCTGACTTGATGGAAAGAGGTAGCAAATGGATGCATTATGTGCATAGATAGGTATAATTAAAAGTGCAAATTGCCCTTCATTTGGGATTGTAAATGATGTTCAAGAAAATTAATTGGCCGGTCTGTTCAAATATTACGTAAGATGCGCGCTGTTGTGGCGGCGGTGCGGCGTCAGCTAGCATGTCAATACATCATATCGACGTTCACCTCACGCCACACGACATCAACATGATGTTTTGACATGTTGTATGATGCCATACCTAATGCCTGGTCTAATGGGCTGTCCATATTCCACGGGGTTTTAGGAGATTTTAGTTTCATACAAATCGGAGAACGACGATTCAAAATTTCAATTTTGTTTCGCTACTTTGCCTGGAACTCCTCCATCAGAAGGCTGTTAAAAGTATTCCCAATCTAAAAGGCCACCCTCCAGTTTGATTCATAATCCCAAAAAAATCAGTCTGAGCAAAAAATTGTAAAGATTGATGAGGGTTCCGAGGTGGCGCAAATGGTCTGAAATTTGTATAGAGATTAGTGTGTTGCCCATAAAAGCATGTCAGTCCCATCGGGAAAAACAGCAAGCCGAGAATCACAGTCCGCATCGTGCTCTCTTGCCGTGCAGATCTATTTGCTTTTTGCTTAAGGAAGTGTTACTACTACCTAAAGCTACAACAAATTTAAACAGCACTTTTCAGTGCTCAACCTGTAAAAAAAAAATTCTACCTTGTTCAACTCTTATTCCTCTTCGATCCTTGTTTGGACCCTACCCGAGGTAATCCTTCTTGGATATCGATTTGTAAAATTCCTCTTCGATCCTTCAGATTCTTATAGTAATCTGCTTGGAAGTCGATTTGGATAAAAATTTACTGCCACGCCTGCCACTGCCTAAACGCAAAAGAAAGGGGCAAACTCTTGACCCCCCTTCTGATGAAATTAATTTGAGTAATCAATTTAATTTGCTCACGGATGATGAGAATGACCCATCATCCAAGAAAAATTCTAGTAAACTTTCCCGGCTTAATGCCAAGAAGGAAAAGATTCCCCCTATTGTGATAACCACTTCCGATTTCCATGCTCTTCGCATGGAACATTTGAATCTCGTGAAAGTTAAGTTTTCACTACAAATTGGACGTCGGGCTGAATGCCGTGTATTGGCTGAAACCTTGGACGGATTTAAATGTCTTCTCAAGCATCTTACTGAGAAGAAGCACAATTTTTTTAATTACGACACCAAAACTGAACGTGTGTTCAAGGTTGTCATGAAAGGACTGCCCAGTGGTAAATCCCTGGATCAGATCAAAGATGAACTGGCAAAATTACTAGGAGTTGTGCCACTCCAAGTAATCAAAATGAAAATGAAATCCCGTCCTGGCGATTCGCGCAACGGGATTTCTAATGATTTTTATTTAGTTCACTTCAAGTCTAGTGAACTAAACAACCTTAAGGCCTTAGAAAAAGCTAGCCTTATGCTCCATGTCCGAGTGAAGTGGGAACACTTCAGGAAGACTGGAGGAAATTTCCAAAACCTCACTCAGTGCCGTAAGTGCCAGGGATGGGGTCACGGAACTAAAAATTGCTACATGCCAGCTAAATGCATGAATTGTGGTGATTCCTCTCACGCAAAGGACGACTGTCCTGTGAAGGAAGATCCTAAGAAATTTAAATGTTCAAATTGTGGTGAAAACCACAAATCCAATTTTTGGGAATGTAAGACTCGTAAAGCGATCCTACAATCTCGTTCTAACCGTCAGGTAGGAAACGCTCCACGTTTCCGACCAGGTACAAATTCCTCTGCTGTTAACAACGGTCAGCGAGGAACAAATTCTACATTCGTACCCGTAGGTACAAATATCACCCCTGCTTCAAATATTTCATCTGTACCTACTCCCCTCGCTGCTAACAATGTTCAGCGAGTTAATGGAGCTACCTATGCTGCTATTGCAGCGGGTAGAAATCAAAATACTAACCAACGTTCTAACGGAAATTTTGACAATTTTGACTTAGGAAGCATTACTGCCCCTAAAATGGAATTTCTACAGAATTCATTAATTGACATGATTTCTGATATGCTTAAATCCAACTCCATGTTTGATGCTATTCAAACTGGAGTAAAATTTGCTAATAATATTGTCATGAATTTAAAATTCAGTAATGGATTTTAAAGCTTTAAACATTGTAAATTGGAATGCTCGATCTCTTAAAGATAATGAAGACGAGCTATTTAACTTTTTGAGAGTTCATAACGTGCATTTTGCCGTTATAACTGAAACGTTCCTTAAACCTGACCATAAGGTTAAGAAGGACGCAAATTATTTAATTTATAGAAATGATCGTCTTGATGGACCCTGTGGTGGCGTTGCCATAATTATTCATAGACGAATCAAACATAAAATTCTTTCTTCATTTGAAACCAAAGTTTTTGAAACTTTGGGAGTTTCTGTTGAAACAAAATTTGGACAACTTACGTTTATAGCTGCCTATTTGCCATTCCAATGCATAGGCCAGCAAAGGAATCTGCTCAATGGTGACCTCCAGAAACTTACCCGTCATAGGTCTAAATTCTTCATTATTGGTGATTTTAATGCAAAACACCGCTCATGGAATAATGCTCAAAGCAATTTCAATGGTAATATTCTGTTTGATGATTGTTCTGCAGGTTATTACACTATTCAATATCCAAACAGTCCAACAAGCTATTGATTTGGTCTTAACTGATTGATGTCAACTTTGTAAGCAATTGGTTACCCATGCTGACTTCGGTTCTGATCACTAAAATTTGAAATAATTTCTAATCCCAACAGCTCTATTTTCAATTACCATAGAGCTGATTGGGAGCAATATCGAACATTTATGGAATATAACTTCGATCCAAACATTCCTTTGCAAACTAAAGATGAAATTAATTATGCTCTTGAATCTCTGACTACTTCTATAGTTGAAGCAAGAGCTGCCTCAGTACCAAAATGCGAGGTTAAATTCGATTCAATTATAATAGACGACGATCTTCAGCTCTTGATCCGTCTTAAAAATGTCCGTAGGAGACAATATCAAAGAACACGTGATCCTGCCATGAAAGTTATCGGGCGGGATTTACAAAAACAAATTAAAAAACGATTCTCTGCCCTGAGGAACAAAACTTTTGAAAATAATGTTTCTAAATTAGACCCGAGTTCCAAACCCTTTTGGAAACTCACAAAATTTTGAAAAAACCTCAAAAGCCTATTCCAGCGCTTAAAGAAGGTGGTAAAATTTTGATCACAAATTTGGAAAAATCTCCGAAACTTGCTAAGCATTTCGAGAGTTCCCATAATTTCAGTTTGGGTCTTACTACTCCTATTGAGAATCAGGTTGCTCGGGATTATCTGAATATTTTCTCTCGTGATGATTTGGACGAAGTAAGGTCTATAACCTTGTCTTTCTTGGTAAAATTATTTAACAGATGTTTCCATTTGGCATACTTTCCTGATAAATGGAAAAATGCAAAAGTTGTTCCAATTTTGAAGCCGGATAAAAATCCAGCTGAAGCTTTTAGCTACCGTCCAATAAGTTTGCTTTCTTCAATAAGTAAACTTTTTGAAAAGATAATTTTAAATAGAATGATGCTTCACATCAATACGAACTCAATTTTTGCAGAAGAGCAGTTTGGATTTCGCCATGGCATTCAACTACTCATCAACTCTTAAGAGTTACCAATTTAATTCGTTCAAACAAATCTGAAGGCAACTCAACTGGAGTTGCTCTTCTAGACATAGAAAAAGCATTCGACAGTGTTGGGCATGAAGGTTTGATTGCTAAATTGAAAAAGTTTAATTTTCCACTTTATATTATGAAATTAGTTCAAAATTATTTAACTGACAGAACTCTGCAGGTAAATTATCAAAATTCCAAATCTAATCGACTACCTGTTAGAGCAGGAGTTCCTCAGGGTAGCATTCTTGGGCCTATATTGTATAACATTTTCGCATTTTGCCTCAGGGTTGCCACAAATCTTTGTTCGCTGATGACACAGGCATTTCCGCTAAAGGAAGAAGTCTTCGTGTTATTTGCAGCAGACTCCAGAAAAGTTTAGATATTTTCTCTTCTTATTTACAAAAATGGAAGATTTCTCCCAACGCTTCCAAAACTCAACTTATAATATTTCCACATAAGCCTAGAGCTTCGTTTTTGAAACCTAGTAGTAGTCACATAGTCACTATGATCGGAGTTCCAATTTCCTGGTCAAACCAAGTGAAATATCTTGGATTAATACTTGACCAAAAATTAACTTTTAAAGATCACATTGAGGGCATTCAAGCCAAATGTAACAAATATATAAAATGTTTGTATCCTCTTATAAACAGGAAATCCAAACTTTGCCTGACGAATAAACTTCTAATATTTAAACAAGTTTTTAGACCGGCCATGCTTTACGCTGTGCCAATATGGTCTAGTTGTTGCACTACCAGGAAAAAAGCACTTCAAAGGATTCAGAACAAAGTTCTGAAAATGATTTTGAAGTTGCCTCCCTGGTACAGTACTACTGAAGTACATAGAATTTCGAATGTTGAGACTTTAGAACAAATGTCCAACAAAATAATTAATAATTTCAGGCAAAGATTTAGCTAAATCTTATATAAGTATAAAGGGAATTAATCGTTGCAATTGAGGATTGCAACGATTAATTCCCTTTATACTTAGATAAGATTTAGTTTTAGTTTTTAGTTTTAAGATATCAATTGTTATACTGACATGCAGGTTTAAAAAACCTGTTTAAAATACTGAATTGCCAAGACAGGAACAATGTAAAAATACTTAGATAAGGGAATTTACGTATTCTCGGCAACCTAATCAGCGATCATCTTTCTATAGTCTTTTTTCTCTAAGGAACGCACACATATGCAGTATTGGTTTGTTTACATTCTTTTGCTGCCAGCTGCTCTAACAATTTCAGTCGAAAGAATTGTCAAAAACTGTTTTGAAAC